TCTCTCTCTTTCTCTCTCTCTCTCTCTCTCCTCTCTTTCCTCTCTCTCTCCCTCTCCTCTCTCTCTCTCCCCTCTCTCTCTCTCTCTCTCTCTCTCTCTCTCTCTCTTCTCTCTCTTTTTCTCTCTCTCTCTCTCTCTTCTCTCTCTCTTTTCTCTTTTTTCTCTCTTTTCTCTCTCTTCCTCTCTCTCTCTCTCTCTCTCTCTCTCTCCTCTCTCATCTCTCTCTCTTCCTCTCTCTCTCTCTCTCTCTCTCTCTCTCTCTCTCTCTCTCTCTCTCTCTCTCTCTCTCTCTCTCTCTCTCTCTCTCTCTCTCTCTCTCTCTCTCTCTCTCTCTCTCTCTCTCTCTCTCTCTCTCTCCTCTCCTCTCTCTCTCTCTCTCTCTCTCTCTCTCTCTCTCTCTCTCTCTCTCTCTCTCTCTCTCTCTCTCTCTCTCTCTCTCTCTCTCTTTCCTCCCTTCTCTATCCTCCCTTCTCTTTCCTCTCTTCTCTTTCCTTCTCTCTCTTTGATATTCTTGGATGTCAAAGAAATGCAATGATTGAAATAATGAGAATGGACTTAAGTTTACAGAGCATGTATGATAAGAGTCTGTGATATTAACACTAGAGTATCTATTGACTTCATGAAGAGAGGAGGAGGAGGAAGGGATAAACTCTTTCACAGTGTTCAGACCTGCTTGAGTGACGTACACACTTCCGGGAAAATTGAGACACGCTACACGAGGGGGATTGGCTAATGGCCTCAGGGAATACGATGTACTTGACTGCTGTCAACCCTCTCGACAGTGTAATAAATAGGTCTGCTCCCTGGAAAGTACAGAAAATAAAAGTCGAAATTGTACCCCCTTCTCAAGATGAAAAAGATTCAGCATGAAGTGGGAGAGTTACGGTGTGTATGGAAGCATGATATCTGGGTTACCAAGAGGCAATACAGATAATAAAGATTTTTGTCAAGGGAAGGGAACTATCAGGAGAAAGCGCCAAGCGATTAGACTCTATATATAGAACTTGGAAGGGGTCAGGACAAGGATTTGGGATGGGACGGGGGGAAAGGAATGGTGCCCAACCACTTGTGGACGGTCGGGGGATTGAACGCCGACCTGCATGAAGTGAGACCGTCGCTCTACCGCCTAGCCCAAGTGGCTGGGTTACCAAGAGGCAATAGTTTACATGTATATTGTGACGGGTCGGTGGCGGAGGATAGCAGGGCAGGATGTGGTGGCCTAATAATGGGAATATACTGAGTTTGAGACTGTGGACTGGACAATTGAACTTCGACTTAGTAATTATATATCATCCACAAAAGCTGAACTGCAGGTCATTCTGGCTGGTTTGGAGGAAGTACGTCAAGATGAAAAATATATTTTTATATTTGACAATAGCCGAGGGGCAATCGATTCCTTAAACAGTCGAAATCAAATAGTCATGTCCATACTTGAGGATTGAAAAAAAGGATAGATGAGATACAGCTGAAAGGTCACAAATTGAAATTCATGTGGATCCTATATCTCATGTTGGACTAGTGGTCAACGAGGTGGCGGATGACCTGGCCAAACGTGCCACATTAAAACCACAAGTTGACATTAAATGTGTTTTAACAATGAGACAAAAAAGAACCAAAATTATAAATATTCAGGCACAGCCAGAAGTGGCGAGGAGAGGTATAATGTACAAGGGAAGTCAAACCATGCAACACTACAGGTGTGTGTGAGTCAAAACACACATTTTTACTTATGGTAAAAGGAGAAATGCTTGGAGTGACTCTGTGCACATGCGGCTCAGGCTTGGGTACAAATATTACTGGGAATATGGCGTAGGTGTTAATGAGATTGATAAGGGCTCACTGCCTCACCCATTATCTTCTTGATTGAACATAATGAAACACTGAGATAAGGACTGTTCCTGAACAAATAGCCTGGATGTGTCACAACGGAAAGATTGGTGATATTCTGGAGAGATATAAGAATTTTGCACCAAGACTGTAACTTTGTTGAATTGTCTGAATGTCTATTGCAAATTGTCTGTGCACCTAGTCATAGCAGTATTTGTGTGTACGTCTGGTAACATTCTGTATGTGTAAAGGAAGAAATGTATATGTTTATCACTCAGAATGTTCAGTAATATGCATATTGCTTGTGATGTGTGTTTATATATGTATGAACACTTTGTACTGAACGGGGTGAGAATAGCTTGAGCTACTTCATCCCTTTGTGTGTGTACTCACCTAGTTGTGTTTGCGGGGGTTGAGCTCTGGCTCTTTGGTCCCGCCTCTCAACCGTCAATCAACAGGTGTACAGATTCCTGAGCCTATCGGGCTCTGTCATATCTACACTTGAAACTGTGTATGGAGTCAGCCTCCACCACATCACTTCCTAATGCATTCCATTTGTCAACCACTCTGACACTAAAAAAGTTCTTTCTAATATCTCTGTGGCTCATTTGGGCACTCAGTTTCCACCTGTGTCCCCTAGTACGTGTGCCCCTTGTGTTAAATAGACTGTCTTTATCTACCCTATCAATCCCCTTCAGAATCTTGAATGTGGTGATCATGTCCCCCTAACTCTTCTGTCTTCCAGCGAAGTGAGGTTTAATTCCCGTAGTCTCTCCTCGTAGCTCATACCTCTCAGCTCGGGTACTAGTCTGGTGGCAAACCTTTGAACCTTTTCCAGTTTAGTCTTATCCTTGACTAGATATGGACTCCATGCTGGGGCTGCATACTCCAGGATTGGCCTGACATATGTGGTATACAAAGTTCTGAATGATTCTTTACACAAGTTTCTGAATGCCGTTCGTATGTTGGCCAGCCTGGCATATGCCGCTGATGTTATCCGCTTGATATGTGCTGCAGGAGACAGGTCTGGCGTGATATCAACCCCCAAGTCTTTTTCCTTCTCTGACTCCTGAAGAATTTCCTCTCCCAGATGATACCTTGTATCTGGCCTCCTGCTCCCTACACCTATCTTCATTACATTACATTTGGTTGGGTTAAACTCTAACAACCATTTGTTCGACCATTCCTTCAGCTTGTCTAGGTCTTCTTGAAGCCTCAAACAGTCCTCTTCTGTTTTAATCCTTCTCATAATTTTAGCATCGTCCGCAAACATTGAGAGAAATGAATCGATACCCTCCGGGAGATCATTTACATATATCAGAAACAAGATAGGACCGAGTACAGAGCCCTGTGGGACTCCACTGGTGACTTCACGCCAATCGGAGGTCTCACCCCTCACCGTAACTCTCTGCTTCCTATTGCTTAGATACTCCCTTATCCACTGGAGCACCTTACCAGCTACACCTGCCTGTCTCTCCAGCTTATGTACCAGCCTCTTATGCGGTACTGTGTCAAAGGCTTTCCGACAATCCAAGAAAATGCAGTCCGCCCAGCCCTCTCTTTCTTGCTTAATCCGTGTCACCTGATCGTAGAATTCTATCAAGCCTGTAAGGCAAGATTTGTGTGTGTGTGTGTGTGTGTGTGTGTGTGTGTGTGTGTGTGTGTACTCACCTATTTGTGTGTGTGTGTGTACTCACCTATTTGTGTAAGTGTGTGTGTGTATGTGTGTGTGTGTACTCACCTATTTGTGTGTGTGTGTGTGTGTGTGTGTGTGTGTGTGTGTGTGTGTGTGTGTGTGTGTGTGTGTGTGTATGTGTGTGTGTGTGTGTGTATGTGTGTGTATGTGTATGTGTGTGTGTGTATGTGTGTGTGTGTGTGTGTGTGTGTGTGTGTGTATGTGTGTGTGTGTGTGTGTGTGTGTGTGTGTGTGTGTGTGTGTGTGTGTGTGTGTGTGTGTGTGTGTGTATGTGTGTGTGTGTGTGTGTGTGTGTGTGTGTGTGTGTGTGTGTGTGTGTGTTTATACCTCAAAAACCATATTTGAATTTGTATTTAATTTGATAAAGGCAAAAACAAAGGAAAATGATACACAAAAATTATATACAAAAGCACAGGTAGAGGGCATAATTACGAGGAAAAATTTGCCTTACACAGATATAGATATACATCATACATCCAGATATCTTTGTATACATCACACACAAAAATAAATGTATGTACAGTTCATACATAACATATTACACATCTTTAAAATAGAAAATGTAAAATATGTAAAGCCAAATAATTATTACGAAAAAAAAGTTAATTTAAAAAAAAAAAATAAAAAATGCTCCGACGTTTAATTAAATAAGAGTTTTTTTTAGTTTATGAACAGCAAAAAATGGTTAACAAATTCAACATTTTCCTCTCCTTGTGAATTAGTAGCAGTGTTGGCTTTACTTATTAGAATATTCATAGTCCTCTTAGTTTAAAAAATAATCTTCAATTAGAATCAACTTTATGCTCTCAGAGCTGCGCCAAATGTTACTATTAGGAAGCCGGTCGGCCGAGCGGACAGCACACTGGACTTGTGATCTTGTGGTCCCGGGTTCGATCCCAGGTGCCGGCAAGAAACAATGGGCAGAGTTTCTTTCACCCTATGCCCCTGTTACCTAGCAGTAAAATAGGTACCTGGGTGTTAGTCAGCTGTCACGGGCTGCTTCCTGGGGGTAAAGGCCTGGTCGAGGACCTGGCCGCGGGGACACTAAAAAGCCCCGAAATCATCTCAAGATAATCTCAAGATAGATACACAGATATGAAGTAATTACACGATGAAAACGCTATACCTCCAAGAGAAAATATTGAAGCCGTTCAAAGGGATTAAACTTGCGTCTATAGACTTCTCAAGGGACACGGGTTCTATACCATTATACATCTTCAATATTAACTAAAGGAATTTTTGTTCCAAAATAAACACCTGTTAACAAAGCAAAATAAATAAATTCTCGTAATTACCCCCCCCCCCCCCACGAGGATACAGCTGCAGCATTTCATACAGTATATACATCATACCCAGAGCTAAGAATTTAATAACTGTCACTTTTGGTCGCTTTCGCTTCCAATTTAGCATAAAAATTATATATTGCACAATAAGAAGTTTTTTTTTTGCGTTAATTTCCGGTTGCGAGGTGAGACTTTTAGCCGGTGTTGGGGCACCGTTGTGTTCCCTGGTGTTGGGGGGCACCGTTGTGTTCCCTGGTGTTGGGGGGCACCTTTGTGTTCCCTGGTGTTGGGGGGCACCGTTGTGTTCCCTGGTGTTGGGGGGCACCTTTGTGTTCCCCGGTGTTGGGGCACCTTTGTGTTCCCTGGTGTTGGGGCACCGTTGTGTTCCCTGGTGTTGGGGGGCACCGTTGTGTTCCCTGGTGTTGGGGCACCGTTGTGTTCCCTGGAGTTGGGGGGCACCGTTGTGTTCCCTGGTGTTGGGGGGCACGTTGTGTTCCCGTGGGGTGTTCCCTGTTGTGTTCCCTGGGGCACCGTTGTGTTCCCTGGTGTTGGGGGGCACCTTTGTGTTCCCTGGTGTTGGGGGGCACCTTTGTGTTCCCTGGTGTTGGGGCACCTTTGTGTTCCCTGGTGTTGGGGCACCGTTGTGTTCCCTGGTGTTGGGGCACCTTTGTGTTCCCTGGTGTTGGGGCACCGTTGTGTTCCCTGTTGTTGGGGGGCACCGTTGTGTTCCCTGGTGTTGGGGGGCACCACCCCCTCACCATACGTGGAGAGGGGCACCGCCCCCTCACCATACGTGAAGGGGGGGGGCACCATTTTAGTACTCCGTCGTTCACTCCTTTAATAATATTTTCTGTTTTACAGGTGCTGAGTTCCCCGTGCTCGCTACCCTTCAGATATCCCGGGCAGCAAGCCACAGATAAGAGACGCCGCCTTATCTCAACCGTCATATCCCTGGATGCGAGTGCACTGGATAAATACTGGTCGTATGTACGTTTTAATATGTATGTGACAGACAAAATCGTTTTTCAGGGCATTAAAGTCTAATTTCAATATTAATATATTTTTCTACCCGTAGGTAGCAGTAATAAATATGGTGTCAGACACGCGGATTGACGCCAAGACTTGCATGGCGACCAGGGAGTCTTTGCTGCCAAAGTAACTGCAGAAAGAGGGGACAGTTTATTCTTAGTTCTTGGTCCAATAAGTCACAGTGAACTCCTGCGGTCACGGTGTTCAGAGTGAACATGAGTTGAACAACGTGCGCCTGAGACGTGAGCCTGTTTAACCATGTCTACCCTACGCAAGTAGTCCACCTGGAGGAAGAATTAGATCCAGCACTAGAAGGGTTGGTCTTGCCTAACACACAGACACACACACCCTCTTTCCAAGCGTCCGGGCGGGGAGTGCGGACACCAAGAGCATCGGCCTTGCCCCCACACGCCCACCCTCCCGGCGTGAGGGCGTGTGGTGCGGGGCAGGGTGGCCGTGGGCGTGTGGGCGGTGGCAGGCGGCATGGTGGGCGTCTACGAGGTGGGCAGGTGGGGGTGGACTGGCCGCTCGGCAGTCCCCACCGACAAGAACACCAAGAGACTCAACATCCACGTCATATCCGATGGTGAGTACCTGAAGCTTCCTGTTCTACCTCGACGCTCCCGAGTATCCGTACTTGGCTTGACACCAAAGATATTTTCAGGAGCTAAAATGCTCATGAAGACGTTGGGGGGGGGAGGGTTGTTATTTCTGGAAATATAAACAGTCACCAGCTATGCAAGCGCCACTCCTCACAACCTTAAACCGTTATTACCAGCGGACACTATACACGTCGCTTGTAGACTTGTACCTCGAGGCGCCGTACAACTCTGACGCAGCCGTCACCAATAATGTGTGTCTAATGACTCACAACTTATCAGAATCATTCTCCTCGGCTGTTTCTGGAGGCTGCAATACCACAGGTTTACCCTCCCCCCCCCCCTCCTCGTTGCCGACTGTTATTACGACTGTTAAATCCGCTCAAACACCATTAGATTGTCTAAACATATTCTCTCCAAGATTAACTCTCGGATCAGCAGATAAATCTCCACTCGTGACAAGCCTACTCATGCCGGAGCACAGATCCACGCCTGCTTTATATCCCCTTTTTATACCCACCAGACAGTTATTTGCAAACCATGTGTTTTTATTTAGGAGCCACAATTCCAACACAGAGAGTGACACTTTGCACTGACTCATCCACGCACAAACATGAAAGGTAAAAGCTCATCCGCCTCATCACTTTGCCGTTGGACATAAAACCAACAGACTCACGAGGCTGCTATAATTTACATGGTTGCTATAATGCACCTGTCATATTGAATGCCTTTACTGCTGGAAAAATTGTATTTATGCCAACCCCCCAAACCCCCCACCCCCACCCCCCCTGGCCGCGTTACAGAGAGTAGTTTCACTCAGCGCGGCACCTGCTGCTGCCCCTGAACCTCACTTTCTCATCCGAATGCACTCGGGAAGTGGCTGGATAGTGTCCCATACAGTGACCTCTCTGTTAAGAATGCGTTGAGTCCGCTTCACACTCTGAACATCAATACATTACGTTAAAAATACGGTCTAGGTTCAAGCATGGGAATTGCAGAGGCATGAACAGTCGCCAAGCCGCAAATGTCAAGAGATCAGGGAAATTTTCGTGGAGTTCATTATACAAAAATCTGTTCCAAGCCGAAATAATCTCAAGAGAACGACTCAAACGGTCTTACACGTGTCGATACGTGCTATGTTTACGCTCTTAAATAATACTAAACAGTTAAATCTGTACAGAGCAGGTAAGCTACGGCTACAACGGAGGAGGAGTAGGAACAAAGTGAGGAATGGATATGTATGAAGGATGCAACATGGGGAGCAGCACACGAGGCTGGACGGTAGGAGTGTGTTGGTGTTGTCCAGCGGGGCGCCAGCACCACACACACACACACACACACACACACACACACACACACACACACACACACACACACACACACACACTGTGAGGCGTCTCCCACAAGACGCCATACAAACTGACACTTCTAGTCAGCAGTCACAAGGCTGGAGATCCGAGGTGTGCGAGGACAGCGTCTTGAGCAAGCCAGTCTCCCGTGGTGGTGGGAACAAGAGTGCTTGGCACACACCCGTGGTGGGCAGCAGCCCGGCCTCTTACTAATTACGTCGCTTTTCGCTCTTACGCGCACTAAGGCCAAAAATCGCCGTACTTGAAAATGAAAGCGGCTCAAGAAAGTAACATACTGTCCCGTTTTCTGTTCTGGGTCCTCAGGGTTAGGTGAGGACACTTTAAATTAACGGTTTTCATGACTTTTGAAACCTTAGGAGACCTTGCTGCCCTCCTAACCTATCAGAAGACCCCAAAACATGCTGCTTCAGGTCCATTTCATTTGGAAAAATTATTTAATTTTTTTGTTTAATTCCAATACTGCGATTTTTGGCCGTAGTGCATACGAGCGAAAAGCGACGTAATTAGTAAGAGGACGGGCTGTACGGTCGGCCCTCGCGGCTATATCTCTGAGTTACTACTCCAAATAGGCTCGTCTCTTTCACAACATTCTGATTCGATATACCCATGACCGAGTATAAGGTCATGACAGTATATGACCCATGACCGAGTATAAGGTCATGGCAGTATATGGCCCATGACCGAGTATAAGGTCATGACAGTATATGACCCATGACCGAGTATAAGGTCATGGCAGTATATGGCCCATGACCGAGTATAAGGTCATGACAGTATATGACCCATGACCGAGTATAAGGTCATGACAGTATATGACCCATGACCGAGTATAAGGTCATGACAGTATATGGCCCATGACCGAGTATAAGGTCATGACAGTATATGGCCCATGACCGAGTATAAGGTCATGACAGTATATGACCCATGACCGAGTATAAGGTCATGACAGTATATGACCCATGACCGAGTATAAGGTCATGGCAGTATATGACCCATGACCGAGTATAAGGTCATGACAGTATATGACCCATGACCGAGTATAAGGTCATGGCAGTATATGACCCATGACCGAGTATAAGGTCATGGCAGTATATGGCCCATGACCGAGTATAAGGTCATGGCAGTATATGACCCATGACCGAGTATAAGGTCATGGCAGTATATGGCCCATGACCGAGTGTAAGGTCATGGCAGTATATGACCCATGACCGAGTATAAGGTCATGGCAGTATATGGCCCATGACCGAGTATAAGGTCATGGCAGTATATGGCCCATGACCGAGTATAAGGTCATGACAGTATATGGCCCATGACCGAGTATAAGGTCATGACAGTATATGGCCCATGACCGAGTATAAGGTCATGACAGTATATGGCCCATGACCGAGTATAAGGTCATGACAGTATATGACCCATGACCGAGTATAAGGTCATGACAGTATATGGCCCATGACCGAGTATAAGGTCATGACAGTATATGGCCCATGACCGAGTATAAGGTCATGACAGTATATGACCCATGACCGAGTATAAGGTCATGACAGTATATGACCCATGACCGAGTATAAGGTCATGACAGTATATGACCCATGACCGAGTATAAGGTCATGACAGTATATGACCCATGACCGAGTATATGAGCAAGTTCACAATTCACGCTACATAAAAGTATTTACACAAACGTGTTCCCAAGGTAGATATTTCGTGAAGATTTCGGTGGTACAAGACGGACCACTCACCGTGTGGTACAAGACGGACCACTCACCGTGTGGTACAAGACGGACCACTCACCGTGTGGTACAAGACGGACCACTCACCGTGTGGTACAAGACGGACCACTCACCGTGTGGTACAAGACGGACCACTCACCGTGTGGTACAAGACGGACCACTCACCGTGTGGTACAAGGTGGACCACTCACCATGTGGTACAAGACGGACCACTCACCGTGTGGTACAAGGTGGACCACTCACCGTGTGGTACAAGGTGGACCACTCACCGTGTGGTACAAGACGGACCACTCACCGTGTGGTACAAGACGGACCACTCACCGTGTGGTACAAGACGGACCACTCACCGTGTGGTACAAGGTGGACCACTCACCGTGTGGTACAAGACGGACCACTCACCGTGTGGTACAAGACGGACCACTCACCGTGTGGTACAAGACGGACCACTCACCGTGTGGTACAAGACGGACCACTCACCGTGTGGTACAAGACGGACCACTCACCGTGACCACTCACCGTGTGGTACAAGACGGACCACTCACCGTGTGGTACAAGGTGGACCACTCACCGTGTGGTACAAGACGGACCACTCACCGTGTGGTACAAGACGGACCACTCACCGTGTGGTACAAGACGGACCACTCACCGTGTGGTACAAGACGGACCACTCACCGTGTGGTACAAGACGGACCACTCACCGTGTGGTACAAGGTGGACCACTCACCGTGTGGTACAAGGTGGACCACTCACCGTGTGGTACAAGGTGGACCACTCACCGTGTGGTACAAGGTGGACCACTCACCGTGTGGTACAAGACGGACCACTCACCGTGTGGTACAAGGTGGACCACTCACCGTGTGGTACAAGACGGACCACTCACCGTGTGGTACAAGACGGACCACTCACCGTGTGGTACAAGACGGACCACTCACCGTGTGGTACAAGACGGACCACTCACCGTGTGGTACAAGACGGACCACTCACCGTATGGTACAAGACGGACCACTCACCGTGTGGTACAAGACGGACCACTCACCGTGTGGTACAAGACGGACCACTCACCGTGTGGTACAAGACGGACCACTCACCGTGTGGTACAAGACGGACCACTCACCGTGTGGTACAAGACGGACCACTCACCGTGTGGTACAAGACGGACCACTCACCGTGTGGTACAAGACGGACCACTCACCGTATGGTACAAGACGGACCACTCACCGTGTGGTACAAGACGGACCACTCACCGTGTGGTACAAGACGGACCACTCACCGTATGGTACAAGACGGACCACTCACCGTGTGGTACAAGACGGACCACTCACCGTATGGTACAAGACGGACCACTCACCGTATGGTACAAGACGGACCACTCACCGTGCGGTACAAGACGGACCACTCACCGTGTGGTACAAGACGGACCACTCACCGTGTGGTACAAGACGGACCACTCACCGTGTGGTACAAGACGGACCACTCACCGTATGGTACAAGACGGACCACTCACCGTGTGGTACAAGACGGACCACTCACCGTATGGTACAAGACGGACCACTCACCGTATGGTACAAGACGGACCACTCACCGTGCGGTACAAGACGGACCACTCTCGCTAGCCATATTCATCACAGGTGTTCATGAAGCTGGCCCTCAGGAGGGAATATTTTCGTCCGTCGCCCACAACGATGTATTTCCTCCTTCCCTGTTGCTCGCTTCCTCAATACCTTCCCACTTCCCTTCTCTCCATCTGTGTCTCCTCCATCCCACTCCCTCACTTGTCTTTCTCCCTCAGTCCTCTCTCACTCGAGCAGTGCCTCACCCCTCGCTGGGGTCACACTAAACCAAACACAACAAAGAAACCTGAACATCTCGAACCGGAAATTAGTGTCCTTG